AGAGTCATAACAACTGGATTAGATTCAAGACCTAATCCATTTATTATAAATTGCAGTAAGTCTTTGTCAGAAACTATCAAACCACTGGCTGACAAACTCATTCTCTAACACATTCTAGATCTCAATCGAATACCTACATTTGGACACAGTACTAAACATGCTTTCTAATATAGAAGCTAATAGCCAACTAACAAATAATTTATCTATCCTTTTTCCACATGACATAATTTGGATTGATTTTGTCTTTTATAGACTCATTTTAGAACTAATTCCTTCACCTAACTAACTAAGCTCATCATTAATATTTAAATCTGACAGAACTAGAGGAGGAGGACAAGCAATTTTACTTGGCAAGTGATCTTTAAGCTCATGCGAGCCAATTGTGAATAGAACCTATGAGCTCCAAAATCTATAATTGTCGTGAGTAAGCTTAGGGTTGATCACTTGAAGACTCAAAGTAATTGCAGAGGTAGAATGATTCAATGTTTCTCTTAGCATTTCCTTATTGCTATTAGGTAGAGGAGAAGAATAGGAAACAGGTGTTTTAGCCATTTGACGTTAGTCATGGCTTTGATACCTAGTAGGAAATCAGTATTTATCGAGAGAATTTCAAAAACACAAAAACAAAAGAATTAAAGTAGTGATGAATTTGTGATTACTAACTAAAGAAGATTACAATTCACCTTATTATATGATTCAGGTGTAAAAGAGTAAAGTAGTAAAGTGTAGAAGATGGGCTAACTACAATTGAGCAAAACGGTTAAGTCAAAACGACATTGTTGAATACATTTACAAATAGACCCTCATTAGTTTAATAGATGACAAACTAATCCTTTTTCCTTTTATATCCTAAGCAGAACAAGTAACCCCGTAATTTCTAAAGGGACCTCCAACTAAGCAATAACCTTGTAATCGAGAACAAGCAAACTAAGAACAAGAACCGGTCCAAAAGAGGCCTCCAATTCCAAGCAGTAACCTTGTAATTTCATAAATAAATAAATATAATCAACAAAGCATTTGAGTTTGAATTCAAAGGTCGAAGCAAACGACCAACTCACAAACAATTTATAATTCTTTCCCAACAAACACAATCAAGATTCACAATTGCTTCATGAATCCTTTATTTATTAAAACTTTCAACTTTCATTGCTCAGTCGACAGAGGCGGTGGCTGTTAGTAATCAACGAACGATGGCAATAGAAAAACAAAAGAAAATTTCGCTCATTGATTACTTTGATTTTGCCAAGATCAGGTCTGATGTGTATATATTTTACATCCTGAAATAGAAATAATGAAAATCCATACAAGGACTCAATTATACCTACGATTAAAGGCTCTGTCAATGTCTCTAAATGTGATTCGCTACCTATTTGAGAATGGAATCGAACTCACATCGTCCACATGAAGACAATACGCCAATGACCAAGAATTAATTTTGCTATAATTAATTCTTGGCTTTAAGGAATCTAAACTTCGGAAGATTGAATGTAGAGAGAAAGAAGAGAAAAAAAATTCTCTTAAAAACTCTCCACGGCCAAGAATGAAATTAGGTTGAATAAACCTAATTTTGCTTCACTTATATAATGAGGCAAATATCTCTTTCTCCCCTCAAGTTTAGCAACAACCCAAGCTTAGGTAGAATTGCATATTAACCCAACTTAATTATTTAGTTTAAATATTAATATTAACTCTAATAATTAAATTATAATTTTGCTAAATTACTCCAATAATAAAATTGGACATAGGCTACAATGGTGGGTGTCGAATCCAACAAATAATAAAATTCTCACTCTCAAAAAATACAAATTGTAACAGTGATGAGCAAGGTCGTATCCACAGAGATTGTGTAGATTTATTTTAATGAAAATTAAAGCAAAGAAAAGGGGGATTTTGAAATTTCAAGTGAAATAAAAAGAAAGCAATTACAATCAACTAAAAATTAAGGAGAAATCAATATCAGACAAATATCCAACCAAAGGTATAATTTCATAATTGGTTCAGAGAATTGATCACAGATATAGGATAAAATCTTCTATTCTTCACTAAATTGGTTATGGTTATTAACAAGCTCTAACAACCTATCTCCCCTTACTTTCTCGATAACCAAAACAAGCTCTTTGATTACTTCCCTTGTTAATAAACAACCCTAAACAAGCTCTTAGGATTTAATCTATCGACAACATTAATAATTAGAGAGACTACCAATTCTAGCCAACAAATACATAAGTTCGATTCATTTAGACTAGATCATATATCTTCATAACATAAATAAAAAATCTCTCTATAATCAACTATGTTATTTTACCACTAATATTAGAACATTTAAACAATTACGGATTTAAAGTTCTAAATGGCAATTTATTAACCTGATAATTGAACAACGGGCCCTTTGCATCAATCAATCAAGACAATAATTGTTAATAAACATAGAAGATATATAAATAGTGAAGAAATAAAAGAACACTGAAAATTATTTAGATCTTACAATTCTTGAAGAACCAAAACTTCAATTATCATTCAGCTGGAAGAAAAGTATTTAGCTACTCATAATTAAAAGAACACCAAAAGAAAAGAGAAGAGAGAGAGGTTTTCTTGTGAATAATCTCCCTATTTATAACTCCATCTAATAATAGTTACCCTATCTAGATAAGGAAGCAAATCCCACCTTAATAGGGAGTCTTGGCAAATCCTAGAGATAAGAATGGGTAACTAAATCTTTCCAGCTGTCATACATATCCTTTTTCTCTAACAAATTCATAACCCTAGGTCAAAAACCTCGGATCTAGTAAGGCGCGCCCACGCTTTATCTGCTGCCTACTTCTGTGAACATTCTGGGAAAACAGGACGTGCCCACGCTTTAAGTAAAAACCGCTTTTGGAATGTATCTCTTTTTTAGCTCCGATTTTTCCTCTCCAAATCTCTTGATTTTGAATTCAATTTGATTTAACTCCTCAATCTACTCCACAAAATACGAAACATAATCAAAATCCAAGATTTAAGCATTTATAACCATTAAAACATGAGGAAATATAACAAATATATAGATATTATGAATTTTTATCAAATTCCCCCACACTTAAACAATGCTTGTCCTCAAGCATACAATAGCTCAAGTTCGTCACCTTTTCTCATCATCGTTCCTTCTTCTACCTTTACTCATCCTCTATAATCCAAATTATCATGCCTTAAAGATTTAAATCTAAAGACAAATAAGAAACGAGCAATTTCATAGAGTAAATTCTTATAAACCACACCCATGAACTATCACCTCAATGATCTTCTTGAAATCAAAATGCAATAGGATCTAACACCCTCTCATTGGATTCACTCAATACGCTCAAAGTGTTTAGGGCATCAATGAACTCTCAAAAGAAAACATAGAAGATCTTTACCATAAGCTCGCTAATATATCACATCTTTATCATCAATGGATTGAATTGAATGCAAAAAATCTAAGGGTCTTAAATGGGTTGTAACGGGGCTTAGGTTAGGTGTGGTGAGAAGGAATTTTTAGGTACTTTTATCAAAGGAATTATACCACTTCTTCACATAAGGCACAACTCAATAACGTCAAATGTTTTCTTCGATCAATTCACTTCCAAACAATTGAAATTGCACAACTTTTCTTTATATATATATATATATATTAAAAGAAACCAAGGCACTTGTAACTTGAATCACTTTATTCCCAGCATATTTCAATCATTTCAAAGATAATTTGAAGCTTCATGTGAACAAGCTAGTATGATCCTTCAATTCAAGGTTCAAAAGAGGGAAATCGACAAAAGAATGGGTTGACATTGCTTATATCATGGTTAACTTCCAACAAAAGGGCCAAGGTTCAAAATTGGCTTTCTAAGGTAAAAATCAAGGTAGGCTTTTTAAGAAAGCTAAATGGCTCCGCTTAGATGCCCTTATTAATTCAATGCATCCAATTCAATAATGTAGTCTCCTGACATGCATAACAAAGTAAGTTCTAGAAAATCAACTATGTATGACAATTACTCAATCAAGAAAAATGGAGCATGTTGTAATACGAGTGCTCATTGGCTCAAAAGCGCACAAAAAGGGTCATGTGCATTAGATCCCACACATTTTTCATTCAATCGATCATCAAGAGCAATTAATCACTGTGTAGTAAATAAGAATTCAACTATTCATGCTAATCCCTTATTACACCTCAATTTATCTCAATAATTCACAATAATCCAAATCATTTAAGACAAGTATCGATAGAATCTAGAATTTAGAAGAGAAGGATCACAAACAAGAACTAAAGTATCACTTGGATTTTTGAAAATTTTCTTGAAAAATGACGCAAAAATTGATCAAAATGGAGCTAAAAGTGAAGTTCAAAGTAATATCAAATTCCTATGTCAAAGACCCTCCCCCACACTTAATCCATACATTGTCCTCAGTGTATCAAAAATAGATGCTTAAAAACTATAAAAGAACAAGAGTAAGTAGAAAACTCCCCTGAAAATGTTGAACATCAACCAAGATATTAGTCACGTGCTTGGGGGTGAAAGTGGTGTGAATCCCATGTAAGCAAAGAAGAGTTAGGGCAACTGAGAAGGAAATAGGAAAAAAAATTATTATTATAATTATTATTATTTTTTTACTCTTTCAACCAAGAGAACAATTGGAATAAGGCGTGGGCACGTCGCCAAAAAATTTGGTGGTGGTGCCAGATGGGGCGAAATGGTGCGAGATGGATGGCTGCTAAGCTGGGTGAAAAGGCGGGTTGTATTCAAAGATCTCGTCTGGTTTATTGCCCAATTCCATGATTCAAGATTTTCCATAAGGCGTGCCCACGGGGTTACGAAAATCATCTTCTGCCAAGCATATTGGAAAGAAAATCAAATGCACTCCGAAAAATGATAAAAAAAAAAACTAAAAATAATCTAAATAAAATAAAGAAAACAAGGAAAGTAAAACAAAAAGTTGGGTTGTCTCCCAAAAGCGCCATTCTTTAATGTCTTTGGCTAGACGGCCACCTCTTAATCGCCATAATTCGGACATTCCAAAATAATTTGATCAACATTATACACTTGAAAACCTTCATAAAAAGGTTTCAAATGATGACTATTGACCTTAAAAGTTTTACTTGTATCCGAACTTTGTATTTCAACTGCACCATGAGGAAATACATTAGTAACAATAAAAGGACCTACCCATCTAGAATGCAATTTACCAGGAAATAACTTCAGTCTAGAGTGATAAAGTAAAACTTTCTGACCAATAGAAATTTTTTTCCTAGAAATTAGTTGATCATGAAAGGCTTTGGTCTTTTCTTTGTATATTCTCGAGCTTTTATAGGCATCATTGTAGATTTCCTCCAACTCTTGCAATTGTAATGTCCTTTGTTCGTTGGTGATTTCCTGCACGTGATTTCCTGCACCAACGGGTCAATAACATCCATAACAAAAATAGAAGACACATCATTAGGGTACCTCATGGCGTCCTAAATATTGAATTTAATAATTTCACTATCAAATTCCATTGTGAGTGTACCATCATGCACATCAATTTTTGTCCTAGATGTTTTTAGAAATGGCCTTCCTAATAACATTAGTGTTGAATTAGAAGAATCATCTTCTTCCATGTCAAGAACATAAAAATCAACAGGAAAGACTAACCCATTAACTTGTACTAAGACATCCTCCACGACTCCTTCAGGATATACATTAGATCTATCAGCAAGTTGAATAATCACACCTATTTCTTTTAATTGACCAATATTCAAAGATGAATAAATAGAGAGAGGCATGACATTTATTGAAGCTCCTAGATCTAGCATTGCTTTCTAAATCCTAACATCACCTAGTTTGCAAGGGATAGTAAACATACCTGGGTCCTTGCATTTTGGAGGTAATTTTTTCTGGAGGATGGCTGAAACATTTTCCCCCAGACTTATCTTTTCATTACCTTTCAACTTCCTCTTGTTGGTGCACAACTCCTTGAGAAATTTAGCATATCGAGGCACTTGTTTAATTGCATCAAGTAAGGGAATATTTACCTCAACCTTGCGAAAAGTTTTAAGAATTTCCTTCTCTTCCTCTTCTTTCTTGGATTTAGTCAATCTAGTAGGAAATGGAGGATTTGTCATCAATGCCTTTGGTTGTTCACTATCAAGTCCTCTAGGCTGGTCAGTTTGAGGTTGAGGAGCAACTACTTCTTTTTTAATTTCTTCTCCACGTGCTGCCTTACTGGGTTCCTTCAACTCTTTCCTGCTTCTCAAGGTAACTGCACTAGCATTTTGTTTTGGGTTAACAACAGTTTGTGAGGGCAATTTACCTTGAGATTCCAATCTACTCATAGAAGATGCTAGTTGACTCATTTGATTCTCCAATTGTTGAATGCTTGTTCTTGTCTCCTATTGAAATTGATGCATGTTAGTTGCAAGTAATTTAACAATTTCTTCTAGAGACATACCTGAACTTGTGGAGGTTTGTTATGGTGGTGGAGCAAGTGGTTTAGGCTGAAAGTGTTGGAATTGTGGTCTTGCTCCATAGTTGAAATTGGGATGATCCCTCCATCCTAGGTTGTTGGTATTTGAATAGGGATCGTATTTCCTTTGTGGTGGGCCTGGAAATCCTCCAACTGCATTGGCATGCTCATAGGAATCATCTCGAAGTGTAACGCACATGTCAGTTGGATGACCGATGGTAGCACAAATTCTACAAGTTTTCACTTGTTGCATATTTCCTATAGCTAACTGTTGAACAATAGAAGTTAGATTGGATATTTGATTTTCAAGGGAAGATATACTTACCTCATTCACCTTTATTGGAGATTTGTCTTGCCTGAATCCAAATTGTTGTGAGTTAGTGGCCATGATGGAGATCAAATCTCTAGCGTCACGAGGAGTTTTGTTCACTATGGCACCTCCACTCGCTGCATCCATTATCTTCCTTTCCATGGGTAGGAGCCCTTCGTAGAAATATTGAATGAGGAGTTGTTCAAAAATTCCATATTGTGGACAACTTGCATAGAGTTGCTTAAATCTTTCCCAATACTCATGAAGGGTCTATGTATCTTTTTGTTTGATTCCACATATCTCCCTTCTAATGCCAATAGCTCGTGATGTAGGGAAAAATTTATCAAGAAACAATCTCACCATCTCCATCCATGTGGTTATAGAGCCAGGGGGCAAATAAAATAACCAATCCTTTGTTTTTTCAGTCAGCGAGAATGGAAAAGCACGTAATTTGATTTGTTCTTCGGTCACTCCTTGCGGTTTCATGCTTGAACACACCACGTGGAATTCCTTTAGATGCTTATGAGGATCTTCATTCTCAAGACCACGAAAAGTTGGGAGCAAATGGATCAATCCAGATTTTAACTCAAAACCCACTTCCAAAGCTGGATATGTAATGCATAGAGGTTGTTGATTTACATTTGGTGCAGCCAATTCCCTTAAAGTTCTCTCTTGATTGGCCATTGTTTCTTCTATTTCAGAGTCACTAGAAAAATCACTAGATGAATCAACCAAGTCAGGTACCAAATTAAATCCGGGGGATGAGGATGAAGATACTTGTTTGTCATGCAATTTAGCTTCCTTCCTCAACTCCCGAGTCGTCTTCTCAATCTCAGGATCGTATTGGAGTTCACCTGCACGAGAAGAACGAAGCATTAAAATAAATATAATTAACACCAATCCCCGGCAACGGTGCCAAAAATTTGGTGGGTGTCGAATCCAACAAATAATAAAATTCTCACTCTCAAAAAATACAAATTGTAACAGTGATGAGGAAGGTCGTATCCACAGAGATTGGGTAGATTTATTTTAATGAAAATTAAAGCAAAGAAAAGGGGGATTTTGAAATTTCGAAGTGAAATAAAAAGAAAGCAATTATAATCAACTAAAAATTAAGGAGAAATCAATATCAGGCAAATATCCAACCAAAGGTATAATTTCATAATTGGTTCAGAGAATTGATCACAGATACAAGGATAAAATCTTCTATTCTTCACTAAATTGGTTATGGTTACTAACAAGCTCTAACAACCTATCTCCCCTTACTTTCTTGATAACCAAAACAAGCTCTTTGATTACTTCCCTTGTTAATAAACAACCCTAAACAAGCTCTTAGGATTTAATCTATCGATAGTATTAATAATTAGAGAGACTACCAATTCTAGCCAACAAATACACAAGTTCGATTCATTTAGACTAGATCATATATCTTCATAACATAAATCGAAAATCTCTCTATAATCAACTATGTTATTTTACCACTAATATTAGAACATTTAAACAATTACGGATTTAAAGTTCTAAATGGCAATTTATTAACCTGATAATTGAACAACGGGCCCTTTGCATCAATCAATCAAGACAATAATTGTTAATAAACATAGAAGATATATAACTAGTGAAAAAATAAAAAAACACTGAAAATTATTTAGATCTCACAATTCTTGAAGAACCAAAACTTCAATTATCCTTCAGCTGGAAGAAAAGTATTTAGCTACTCATAATTAAAAGAACACCTAAAGAAAAGAGAAGAAAGAGAGGTTTTCTTGTGAATAATCTCCCTATTTATAACTCCATCTAATAATAGTTACCCTATCTAGATAAGGAAGCAAATCCCACCTTAATAGGGAGTCTTGCAAATCCTAGAGATAAGAATGGGTAACTAAATCTTTCCAGCTATCATACATATCCTTTTTCTCCAACAAATTCGTAACCCTAGGTCAAAAACCTCGTATCCAGTAAGGCGCGCCCACGCTTTATCTACTGCCTACTTCTGTGAACATTCTGGGAAAACAGGACGTGCCCACGCTTTAAGCAAAAACCGCTTCTGGAATGTATCTCTTTTTGAGCTCCGATTTTTCCTCTCCAAATCTCTTGATTTTGAATTCAATTTGATTTAACTGCTCAATCTACTCCACAAAATACGAAACATAATCAAAATCCAAGATTTAAGCATTTATAACCATTAAAACATGAGGAAATATAACAAATATACAAATATTATGAATTCTTATCATACAACCTCAATAAATTTAATTACATAGCGAAATTATCAATATGCCCATTCATCTAAAAGACAAATATACCCTTCTAAAAATTCACCATCCTTAAATTGTCTTCTAAGTGTGTGACTCGTANGAACAAAACGGTTAAGTCAAAACGACATTGTTGAATACATTTACAACAGACCCTCGTTAGTTTAATAGATGACAAACTAATCCTTTTTCCTTTTATATCGTAAGAAGAACAAGTAACCCCGTAATTTCTAAAAGGACCTCCAACTAAGCAACAACCTTGTAATCGAGAACAAGCAAACTAAGAACAAGAACCGGTCAAAAAGAGGCCTCCAACTCCAAGCAGTAACCTTGTAATTTCATAAACAAATAAATATAATCAACAAAGCATTTGAGTTTGAATTCAAAGGTCGAAGCAAACGACCAACTCACAAACAATTTATAATTCTTTCCCAACAAACACAATCAAGATTCACAATTGCTTCATGAATCCTTTATTTATTAAAACTTTCAACTTTCATTGCTCAGTCGACAGAGGCGGTGGCTGTTAGTAATCAACGAACGATGGCAATAGAAAAACAAAAGAAAATTTCGCTCATTGATTACTTTGATTTTGCCAAGATCAGGTCTGATGTGTATATATTTTACATCCTGAAATAGAAATAATGAAAATCCATACAAGGACTCAATTATACCTACGATTAAAGGCTCTGTCAATGTCTCTAAATGTGATTCGCTACCTATTTGAGAATGGAATCGAACTCACATCGTCCACATGAAGACAATACGCCAATGACCAAGAATTAATTTTGCTATAATTAATTCTTGGCTTTAAGGAATCTAAACTTCGGAAGATTGAATGTAGAGAGAAAGAAGAGAAAAAAAATTCTCTTAAAAACTCTCCACGGCCAAGAATGAAATTAGGTTGAATAAACCTAATTTTGCTTCACTTATATAATGAGGCAAATATCTCTTTCTCCCCTCAAGTTTAGCAACAACCCAAGCTTAGGTAGAATTGCATATTAACCCAACTTAATTATTTAGTTTAAATATTAATATTAACTCTAATAATTAAATTATAATTTTGCTAAATTACTCCAATAATAAAATTGGACATAGGCTACAACCTTAATAAATTTAATTACACAGCGAAATTATCAATATGCCCATTCATCTAAAAGACAAATATACCCTTCTAAAAATTCACCATCCTTAAATTGTCTTCTAAGTGTGTGACTCGTAGGCTTCTTATCATATCGATAGTGAGTAGTATCGCAATTGACACCAATCAATCGTCTCACTACACACAAACCAAGATTGACCCTTAGCAAGGCATCATGGCCACCCGATAGATTCGGATTCAGCAAAATAGCTATCTATCAATGATATGCTTACTATGCAATCAAATCATTTCATCATATATTATCTCATCAAGGCTGAGGTACAGAAATAGTGTCAACCTCATATATCCTTGATATGCTTGTATTCAGGTACTGGAACAATGATTAGAATAATAAATTTTATTGAGCAACAACTCAATCCCACTATGGCCATAGCTTTAGTGTCATTACCATTCATTGAATTGCACCGTGAGATAGCTTTTCTCATACCCGGGAGTGATGAATCCTTTGTCGATCCACTGTAGTCTTGATACACTCCTCGATGTAGCCAATCACTATCGTATTGATAACTCTGAATAGAATTACGTTGGGCTAGTGTCAAATTACACCAATCGGTGCACAAGGCATTCCGGTTATCTCAAGTCTAAAGATCACATGTACCACCATTCGTTAGAGGATTTATTCCATAGACATTGGGGTTACCATCCATTTGGAATCCTCTGGTGGGTCTGTCCAATGAACTTGCCTATAACAAGCACTCATGTGTTGCACCAAGTTGTCGACAAACAACCTTAACAAGTTAGATCAGTCACTACCTTTCGAGAGGGTCATTCAACACTATGATAGTCTTATCGTATTATCTATGTCCTTAGTCAGAATAATACTAGAGCTATAGACATTTCTAAAATAGCCACCATATGTAATCATAAGGTTCTTACTATCAAGATTTGAGACACTTGATACCCTTGTCACGGTTCTACCATCCTAAGGACATATATTAATACACACTATTATGATTTACACGATATAGAATAAAATGTCTTTTATTGATTAATAAACATTATTATAAAGAGTCAATTATATAATAATTGATCGGCTTTGGGGCACCTACTCTTACAATCTCCCACTTGCATTATAGCCAATCATTCATGTATTTAATACCGAATGACCTTAAGTGCTTTTCATGCATCTGCTACGATAGAGGCTTCGTCAGTGGATCAAGGAG